ACCATACAGATACAGCTATATACAACTTACAAAACAGCCTAATAAAAGATTATACGAATTATAAAATTACTTTGAACATACAAATTCTCACTTACTCAACTGTAAATGTTTAACTGATCTACTAGTTAACACTAACACAACTATACATAATATTGAATTAATGAAGTCTTTTAATTACCATCCAACATGTACATAAAACCAAGTTCAATCAATCCTCCACAATCTCATGGCTCAAAAACTATTTGTTGGCACTCAGAAATTGTTGGCACTCAGAAACACCGCAAACTTTCTGCATAGCATAAGGACATAAATTTGGGATAATTTTGGAGCCATTTTTTGAAAAAATCCATGGGCTATAGCCTTTGCTTTTTTTTTTTAAATTGGCCAATTTCTCTAAATGGTCATAACTAAATTTTATGTCACTCAAATCTGCATGACATCATACCTTCTTTCTGTGTATCATTGGCAGTCCTATATTGTAGATGGTGTACCAATCCTAATAGATTATTCTCCAATGAATGAAGATAGTCTTTAGTAGGAACAAGAGCACCACTTGAGGTATCACATCCTTGAGTTGGACGATACTGTAAGGACTCTTCTGACGGTAAATCAGACTGAAACTTAACACAAAGTACTCTGAACTCCTAAAAATAAATAATAACAGGAATGTCATAACTTGATCAATCTACAAAGTGTCAATGTGCAGGAGATAATTAGCATAAAATTGGCAGTGTTTGGCTGTGCTCCACCTCTTTTCCCTTTTCGTCTATCAGTGGCCCCTCGTCTATGAGTCTCTTTAGTAACTCGACTCTGAAGAATAAGAGTTTGAGTTTTTGGAAGAACAGGAACTGGGCAATTTGGGGGAATGTAGATCTATAATGTAGAATGTAGATTTAGGTGAGTACTTATGATCCTTTGAAGAATAAGACAAGACTACTAGCTACTGGTGAATGAGGTTTGGTATCTGCTTTTAGTTTAGTAGTGGGGGATCTGTGCTGCTGTTTAGGAGAGGGCCTGGTTTCTGTAGTAGAGTGTCTCTGAGGTTGAATTGGTTTTGATACTAGTGGGTTGAGAGGTTGGGAGGGTTTGGATGATTTTGACTGAGTAGTACTAGACTACTAGTAGTAGTGATCCCTTCTTGTTTAAGCTGGTATCGTCCATTCCTTTCTTCTTCTGCTCTCGTCTCCCATCCAGTGGCTTCTTTGATCTCAAACTCTCTTCTTTGCCTTTTGTTCTGGAGGAGGACATTAATTTTGTAGGTCAGTTTACTGACTACTGAGTTTAGTTGCTAGGTAGCGCCATATAGCCATAGATATTAGAGTATTAGATATTAGAGTACTCTATTATCTATGATATAGCTCTAACCTAATTAGCCACACCCCTAATTATTATTTTATATGATATAACATTAGTAGTAATTAATGAAAGGAATGAAAGGACTCCGGAAATGGTATCACGTATATAGCACGGGTGTTTAATCACGGCACAAAGTCAATAATTAGAACAATAATTTATTACTTACGGTATTATCAAATTTGAGTGATAATGTTTCCTCAAAAGGAGGAAGTTTTGTAATCAGTATATCATATTCATAGTACAAACCACATA